TGCCTGCCTGCCTGCCTGCCTGCCTGCCTGCCTGCCTGCCTGCCTGCCTGCCTGCCTTTCTTTTAGGAATTTTTATGTGTCCCAAACAACGTTTTAATAAAATAGAGAATTAACAACACATTAAGGTCAATATGTGCAAGTAGTCAAATATCCCTTAAGAAATTAACTTGAAAAAAAAAAAGAAAAGCTCAGGTTTGGAGACAACGTTAGAGACTAAGATGGTTTGGATGTGTAGAGGAGGACAGTGCATAAAATGGACAAAGAATTGTGAATATGGAGCAGCCAGGGAGGAAGAAAAGAGGGTTTATGTATGTAAGGGAGGAAGATAAGCAGAGTGTCAGTGCAATAGAGGATTCTGGGAAAGATGGAGGCCGCTGATCCACTAAGGTGATGTCTAAAGGGAGCAGCCAAAAAAGAATAATCTTCACACATTTTACTAAAAGCATCTCATACATATGTGAATATCATCAAAACAAGCAAAGACAATTTCACCAGTTACCAGGAGATGCTGCAGTCATTCCCTGGAAAATATCTGACGGCTTTCATCTCTGATCTCCTCTAATCCTGCCTGTCCTGTTACCAAATATGGAGCAGGCCACCATTAAACAAGGCCGTTGGTGTGACCTCATCACAAGACACTTCATAAGGATGCAGCACACTCAGATTTCTGTTATTTGGTTTATTTGGTGGTTTGTTTCCTGCAGGTACGTGCAATATACTTTGCTCTGCGTTGACTGAGCAGCAGCTCATTAGCAAAAATCACACGAAAGCCGGGACGTATCTGAAGGTTGCTAAGAGACTGCTGTGGAATCCCCTGCCTGGTAACAGACACCGAAACGGTACGCAAACATTCCTGCTGCGAACGCGCACATGCAAATGGACAGCTCGTTCGGAAACGACGGATCAAACGAAGCAGGTCGGATCTTTATCGAACATAACGAGTCATTTCTGATGAGACGTGGCTGACATGAAGCGGTTGGACTCATTATCGCCCGAAGGTGAAGGCGGAGCAGCAATGTCTTCGCACTTGTGCGTTTGTTTGGATGTACTGTTAGCAAAATACTCCCTAACACAAAAACGGCTACAACTCAGTGGATTTTACAGAAACTGAGCTAAAATTTGATGTGTTAGTGGCTGAGACTGATCCTCAACTTATACGCCGAGCACGAGCTGATCCTGGGAGGTCTGTGCCTTAAAGTTTGGCATAAACTATTCTAGTCAACCCTGTTTGTCTGTTAGCAAAATACCTCATCAACCACTGAACTATTTTTATTAAAACTTTCAGAAAGTAATAATTGGCCATAGATATACAGCTGATTAACTTTAGCAGTGAGCCCTATTTAAGATGGCTGCCACAGCTAATTTACCAAAACACAAAAATGGCTAATACTCAGTCAATTTAACAGTTATTAAGCTAAAGTTTAGTGTGGTAGTTGCTGAGCATAGTCCTTAACCCATATTGTGACTGCAGTGCATTGCATAACATTTTTTTCCTTGACATTTAGGCAACAGATGTTAGCATTACCCCTTTTTGTCTGTTAGCAAAATATCTCAAGAACCACTAAAAAGATTTTATTGAAGCATTCTGAAATCAATCATGTGATTTGCATCTACAACGGATCAACGGATGGAGTCAACATGAATTAAGATGGAAGCAGCAGCTAATCTATAGTCGACACCAAAATGGCTTTAACTCTGTGAATTTAACAGACATTGAACTAAAATTTGGTGTGGTAGTAGCTGAGAGTCATTCACAACACATACTTAAAGCACAAACAATAACAGCACATGAAGTTATTTTCGAGGTTTAACCAAAATAGCTACAACTGTGTTATTTATAGTTTAAATCTCAGGCACAAAAGGCGGTGGGTGACGTTATTAAATGCGATTCCTGTCAATAATTGTTCATCACAACAAAACAACCACGTTTTGTCCAGTTGTTGTGACCTGTCCATCAAAGCTAGTGAGTCTGGTTCGTGCTAATCCCTCGGCTCTTGAGGCCGAGTTTTTCTGCTCACGTGGGAACCAGCTGCCTCGTCGCTCAGGGTCCTGGCTCAAATCCCTTACTTGGTGCCGGCATTAGCATCAGAATGAATACGAGTATTGGTTCAGGTCAGTGTTGGGAGGCAGAATATGAAAACAGATGTTGATGACAGGAGGGAAAAGGGAGGAGCCAAACAGTCAGAATGAATGAGAGGAAATGGAAGTGGGCGGGGCCAATGGATACAGTTTAACTCTAGAGGCCAGATGTACTTCTTCACTTTTTTCTTTAGGCTTTTTAAAGCAGTCTCATGTCGTGTAATCAATGGAAAGCACCAATTAGGTTTGTTAATGAGAGCTAATTAAAGAAGTGTGCTGTGGCTAAATTTAGACTGTAGGAGGGAGCAGACAGGAGGAAGAGGAGAGAAAGGAGGAGAGGATAGCAACAGTGGCAGTCGAGATGTCCTAAATTGGACCATCTGACACATCTGCCCATGTTTATTACTGCCCACTGCCATGAAAGGCATGTGCATGTGTATGCATGTGTTAATGAGCTTGTCTGTTAGAAAAACATCACATGAACCGGTGAAAAGATTTGAACGAAACTCCCAGAAAGTTATCAGAGAATGTACAACTTCAACTGATTAACGTTTAGAGTCAACAACGTTCAAGATGTCTGCCACAGCCAACCAATCTTATAAAGAACTAAAAGGACCATAACTAATTTAGTTTTACGAATACTGAGCTTAAACGTAGAGTGGTAGTAGCTGAGAGTCATCCTCAATGTCTAAAAGGGCTCATCAGATGTCGTAATATCACATAAGATTCCGCACATCAAGAAATGCTATTTTTTTTAAATTTACTGATTCTTTCTTCTTAAAAATGTGATTTTCTCTGCATCTACCAAATAAACTGAACTGTATTTTTCCAATAAGCTGATCAGTGTTTGTTAATGTACTGTATGACTTAATTAATAACTTACAGTTTGAGCACAGAAAACATTGTGAAATGATCTCTCGGTCACTGATTGAATTGTTTTTCACACTTCGTGGATCTTTGATAAAAAGAACAGGGATGTTTTTAAAAAGGTTTAACAAAACTCACTTGGACTCTGTTGTTCTAACTTTATCTGAAGTGGCAAAAACGGAATGAGAATTAATCTAATCTGGATTTATCTACATCACAAGAAAGGTGTGTTTTTTTTGTAGAGTCCCAATCCTCAAAAGCTGTTGGGATGTTTTGTAAAAGAAAAAAGAATGCAATGATTTGATTTATCCGTCTGCTGCTTGTTTCAGGGTCGGGTCGAGAGGGCAGCCACCTCTTCCTGCTCCTCTGGGAGGACTCCAAGGTGTTCCCAGGCCAGCTGAGAGACTAAAGCCCCTTCTCCACGGGCGTGGCTTTACTCAGCTCGCATCGACTCAGCATCGGCCAAATGTGTCTCCATTACCTGTTCGTGATGGTTTTCCAAGCGAGCCGAGCAAGCGATTATGACATCAGCACTTGATTGGCCCTTGGATTGACGTCACTATATGAGCCAAGGCAAACGTCTCCTGAAGCGCCATTTTCAATCTGGTCGTTGAGTGTACATGTACGTTGCTGAGACGGAGAGCTGCAAATCACTGATGATTCTGTGGTCGAATGATGAGGTGCCAACTTTTTTATCAATGTTGTCAGACGAGCACATACAGCGTGAGCTCGACAGAGCGAGTTCACCAGGAGTTGTAAAAAAAAAAGAAGTCTGACTACTGGACGATAAAAGATCACAATGGGGGAAGCGGGTCAAACCGGAGGGGATGGAGGTGTTTCGCCAAGTGCCAACAATCCCACCCAGTGAGTGAGAACACATTCTCAATGGAGACATACCTACACTTGAGTAGAACCGAATAGAAGCAAAGCTATTGGAGTCGTACCAGTGGAGAAGCAGCTATAGTCTCTCCTGTGTGTCCTGGGTCTTCTCCAGAGTCTCAGTTGGACATGTCCAGAACACTTCCCTAGGAAGGCGTCCAGGGTTCATCATTACCAGATGCTCGAACCACTTCAAATGGTCCCTCTCATTGTGGAGGAACAGCAGCTCTACTTCAAATCTTTCCTGGATAACTGAACATCTCACCCCATCTTAAAAGAGAGTCCAGCTGTCCTGTAAAGTAAACCCAGTTTGACTGCTTGTATCTGTGATCTCGTTCTTTCAGTCACTACCCAGAACTCATGAAAATAAGTTGGGGTAGGAATTTAGACTGACCAAATCGCCAGCTCAGCTCCCTCTTCACCACAACGGACCGGCACAGCGTCTGCAATACTGCTGAAGCGGCACTCTATTCTTCTCTCACTCATGAACAAAACCCCAAGACGCTAGAACTCCTCCACTTGAGGCAGAACCTCACTCCCAACCCTGATTTGGTTTAAGGGATTTTCAAATCACTACATTCTGTTTTACATTTTACATGTTCCTAACCTTTTTAGAATTGAGGTTATATTTGGAGCACTCATGCACTGCAGCCGAAAGGTATGATGGTCAAACGGCATGGGCTTCGTCACAGACTCTGAAGGAGACGAAGGTCTCCATGTTCTGGGTCAGACTGTGTTCAGGCCAGGGTTGATTCAAGGTGGGCTGTGCTGACAAATGTCTGACTTTACTCATGGAGCCGTGTCTCGTGGGAACTTTTACTTCACCATCACTCACCAGCTTTGATGCGGATGTTGGGGCTGCGGATCTTGCCAGCCTGGTTCTCGGCCGTGCAGAAGTAGTCGTTGTCGTGGATGTAGCTGTTGTAGGCCGAGGGCGAGAAGGGGTACAGCTGGAGGGTGCCATTGGCGTGCACATGGCGGATGTGGGGCACGTCGTAGATGTCGTCGCCGGTTGCCAGGTACCAGCGCAGAATGGCACCAGGGGTGCCCCCCGCAGGACAGGGCAGGGACACCCCCACGGAGCTGGAGTAGGTTACCCTCTGCAGGGAGGCGTTTACAAAGTACAGCCTGGTGGAGCCCACATCCTCACTGTGTACTGCAAACAGACACAACCGCATCAGCTAAGAAACACGTCCAACAGTGAGCAACTGTTACACACACACCCGGAAGAGTGACCCTTCAAACCAGAAACACCCCCGCAACGAGGCGGGAATGTCCTTCAGATGTGTTGTAAAATAACCATAGAAAAATGTGTGTCAAACATCCAGCTGCAAACATCAGTCATGTGACAGAAAAAGCTGGGGATTTGGGCTAAAACCCGCAATGGTTTAGGTGGATGGGAAGAGGCAAAGTGGGTGTGGGTAGGATGGGGTGGGGGGTGGGGGGGTCTGGTACCTCCCTACAGTTTGTGCACACATCCACAAAGACAACCAGAGACAGGGCGAGAGGGTGGAGGGGCAAACCCGCTGGTAGGTTATGTGATTGGAATTTCTATGCCAGACGCAGAGATTTTAAGTCTTTTTAATCTCCTTACATATTTACCTCACACACACACACACACACACACACACTCACACACTAACAAACACACACACACACACACACACACACACACACACACACACACACACACACACGCACACACACACACGCACACAGACACACACACACACACACACACACACACACACACACAGACATTCATGTCATTCATAGATTAAACACTTACACCTCCAGCAGAGAAAGGAGAGTGGAACAAAAAATAGAAAAGATTTGGGGGGTTTGGATCAAATTTGAGGTTATTATAGAAAAAGATTAAAGGAGAACATCATGGGGCTGTGGGGGGTGGGGGGTGGACACCACTCATGGACAGATGTGGATGTTAACCATCTCTGATTTTAAATTTCAATATGTCTACTTGTGATTGCTGGACATGGGCACCGGCGACCCCCGTGACCCAAAATGGAAGAAGCGGGTAAAAGATAATGGATGGATGGATGTCTACTTGTAGGTACACACCACATGTTCACCCCCCCCCCCACACACACACACACAAACTAATTTTAAACAAAAATACATTAAAACATCATCAAGCAAACAAAAACATCTTAAGAAAGGATACTTCTGATCTTTAGAAGTTTGGTTCTGTGTAGAGTTAACAATAAATATCTGCTGTCGGTAGGTCTTTGTACAACCAAAATACCGGTAGTTTGATTCTGGCTGGACTGACGAGCTAACAGCTGGTCTGAGGGGGCCTAAGAAAGACATTTTAAGGGACTCTCACCATCTACTGGAGCACAAACTTTGTGTCAGAACTCCACGCCACTGGGTCAAACATGTCCCCACGAGGACAGAAGGAAAAGGAACAGAAACATGTCAAAGAAGCTCTCGAAACCTGTGGATATCCAAACTGGGCTTTTATTAAATCTGTGATGAAATCCAAAAACCAAACAACCAAAAAATAAATGAATATTAAAAACGCCAGAACAGGACAGGGTGAAGAACAAAAAAAACCAGTCATGCCATACGTTGTCTCTGAGAAACTCCAAAGGATGTTTCTCCAAACACGACATCCCGCTGCATTTCAAACTAGGGCTGAACAATTAATTGCATTTGCAATAATATCGCGATATGCTAAAACGAGATTTTCTAATCGTAAAGACTGCAACTTGACTGGTCACTGATCTGGGTACGTGACTTGCGAGTGAGCGGAGCAAAGCAGAGCAAGGAGCTGGAGAAGTCAACACTGCGCTTTAACCGGTTGCACAATGTCATCAGGCTCGACAGAAGCTGACACATCTGAAAGTTTGGTACCAAAGAGGAGCAGCACGTCCGTCGTTTGGAATTATTTTGGCTATAAAGAAAGAAGATGCTGTGTAACGACATGCATTGTGCAGAACCTGCCTTGCTGCTGTTGCTACCTCTCGAGGTAACACCACAAATCTTTATCAACACTTAAAAAACATCACAAAGACATTTACGATAGTTGCATGACTAGAATGTCAACGACCAGTAATTCAACTTCAAGTAAGCAAAGTAGCAGCCGACAAGAGATCACTGACTGAACTATTCGAAGATATTACTCCGTATGAACATAATTCGAAACGGCACGCAGAAATAACTCGAGCAATAATGGAGTTCATCGCGAAAGACATGATGCCCATTAATAAAGTGACCAAGCCTGGGTTTACGGCTTTGGTAAACATAGTGGATAAGTGGTACAGAATGTACTCACGCACACATTTAAGCCAAGTTGATATCCTGGAGTTATACAATGAATGCAGAAACAGAGTTGCTGCGGAGCTGAAAACAGTGGGGTTTTTTGCAACTGAAACAGATTTATTGCTCGTGTTTGTTGAAAAATACATGAGAAGAAGACATCGAAAAATAATTGCATATTAAATCGCAATGGCATATTGGAGGTAAAAAAATAAAATAAAATAAAAATCGCAATTAGAACATTTCCCTAAATCTTTTCAGCTCCATTTCAATCCTAACAGGACCCTCAGACAGAGGCTGCTCCATCCTAAGGACACAAACTGAGCAGTGTGGTGTCTGCAGGAATGTTCTGACCTCTATATTAGAGAAACTAAACAACCTCTCCACAGACACATGGCTCAACACCAGAGCAGCTCTTCAGGACAAAACTCAGTGGTCCACCTACTCGCCCCTTCTCGACACAAACGTCTTCTCACAGGCATATGCACCAAGTGTTGTGTGACTGGTCAGAAGTTTGTGTGTTCATCAATGCAGAAATGTGCTCAGACGTTCAGCTGTACGACTAAACAAACACTAAATTAGTCAAACAGTCAAAAACTCCTGGATGGAGATGGTGCAGACGTTGTGTATGGAGGAGTCTGCTGAAAAGTGTGATGCTCTCTTCATGATAGATCTGAGGCCAAACGGTGGATTCAGGGACAGAGTGGATACTCTGGCAGGAAGAAACCTGCACGGTGATGTATAATATACTGCAGCGGGAGGGGTTTCCCAGGAGCTCTGTGCCTCATGGACTACGAAAAGGCTGTGTGAAAACTAACGTCCCACAACCAGGTGAGCACACGTCGACTGTTCAGCTTCGGATGGAGGATGCTGGGACCTTAATTCACACCTTGATACATACAACAAAAACATCTCTCTATGAGCCAGGAAAAAACGATGACTCCTTATTGTGAGGAGCGAGAAGTTTTAGTCTGATCTGCAGGTGAATCCAGGTGCTTAACGAAGCCTCTATTGCGGCTATAAAAAGCTTAAAACTTCAAACTTTAATTTTAAATTGATAACGCCTGGGATAGGAAATGAAATGGATTCAGCTACAGAATAGAAGTCCAGTTGTTTTGTTTTATTTTTACTTTTTGAGCTCTCAGTTTCACTAAACTTCATTATTCTGACAGAAATATATTCCTGCTGGAAGTGTCCCATGCTGCACAGGAAGTGCTACAGCTAACTGCTGCAATTAGCACTAACAAGTAACAATAAAAAAATGATGACAATGAAATCAGAGTTGCCAGCTCGTCAGTCCAGTCAGATTTAAACTCTATTTCTCTAAACTGAAGTCGTTCAAACTGTTATCTGAAACAGGTAAGATGTTTACTGTTTAAAAAAAATTCCACAGAAGCAAACTTTAAAAGATCTGAGCTATCATTTTAAATATTTTTGATTCAGAAATTGGCAGATCAAATACATTTCTCATTTAAAATTTTACATACGAGCAAATAACGGCAATGGAAATACATTTAGATGAACTAAAAGCCTTTTCCAGTGATTCTTTTTCCCACAACATTCAGTGAAAAACTAAAGGAAATGTTTGTTTAGTTTGGTGTCCTCACTGTTTTAATGAGAACAAAGTTTCAGGTGTTTGCAAGATAATCAACATTGATTTGATGTATTTGACATATCTAATTCTACTATATTCTGAATCATAAAACAGAGTTTAGGATGATCTCTGCCTGGAAAAGTTTCAGAAAAAGAAAAAAAGTATTTAATAAGACACCTACAGAGGTCTGAGTCTAACTAATGGGAATATTTGAATTTATTTGTATTAAAACAAGATTAAATTAAATAAAAATCATGTGGACACACAAAACTTATTTTACAGTTTCTTAACAAAAATATTTTAATGAATTTACAAAAAATAGGAATAGATTTTTCTAACTAAAATAAAAAACTTGTGATAAATGCCTTCCGCTCAGGTTTGACTCGGGTGAAGGCTTTGACAAAGACCAACGTATTAAGGAGGGATTTGAGAGCTTGAGTTCAGAGACTTGTAAAATGAAGGATTCGGGTGAAGAAGTCCTGATCTTTGTTACAAACCTGCGAGGGGCGACGGTGGATCTAAAAAAAAAAATCAAAGAAACTGTCCAGATGACCTGACTGAAAATTGCTGGATTGTATACCTGGATTATTGAGCATGGACTTTGTTAGTGGATCTTAAAGGTCTGAATGTAAAGTTAGGAGACAGGAAGCAAGACCGTGCAAAACTTTAAGGTGAGCAAAAAGATTTTACATCAAATAAAAACGTGACAAAGACGCTGCGGAGAGGCTGGCCTGGGGATGATGCATTCAGGTGCTTTGGTGCCAAACTGAGTCCAACTGCAGGTTTTTAAACCTAGCATGATAATGAGAGTCTGTACTGATTGATGGGAGGCTAGCATTTAAAACAAGACATTATACACCCGTCAACAATTATACCAGTCAACCCCCAGTTCAACTCTCGGACCGACAACATCAAACTGTCGGTGGAAAAGGTGAAACACCCACATCTGCCTTCACCCTCATTTGCACCATTCTGGGCCCTTTAACCCCCACAGCTGCTCCCTGGGTGCCTTGGATAGAAGCCCACTACTTCACATGTGTGCTCACATGTGCAATGGGAAAACTTCAGCCAATTAAGTTCCCCACTGGGGATTAATAGAGCACAATAAAAGAAAATACAGCAATCTATAGTAATGACCAGGACAAGCAAAGGCC